TTCTTCCAGGTCTTTGACTTGGACAGGAAGAATAGCCAATGCCCCTAGACAACAGGACAAACTGCCCCTGGCTGGCATGAACAGTAGCAGCATCAGTGGCAAGGTGGACATCCCATGATGTCACTCAGGTGGGCTCTGGGCTAGGGCTGAAAGCTTCTGATGGATTTTAGCGATTCCGTACAGAGAAATGGAGACCAAGTCTCTACCCTCCAGGGCTGGGTCTTGTCATAACATCATCTCTGAGCCTGACCCTATTTCTCACTCACTGTGCTCAGCTGACATTTGTTGAGTGAGAGGAACTGAAGTCCCTGATATCCCTTCTTAGAAACCCCAGTCTTAGCCCCTTGATCTTTCCTTTGCCTTGACTCTTGCTCCCTAAATTGTCTATATAGTCCTAACCTGATGAAATGCAACTACTTTAGAAAGTGAGGGCATCTTATCAGAATATCTGGAGAGGCAGATAGAGCCTCTAGCCTTGTCAGCATGGGCGTTCTGGAGGAGTAGAGAAAGCTATATGTGTCCCTCTACCACAGGACAAATGGGAGGAGCTCCGCAGCCAGAACTCATCTCTGGAGATCTTTGGACACATCTCCTTGATGATTTTGGACACCCTTATGAAATGTGTCTTCAGCTACCAGGGCAACCAACAGGCAGACAGGTCAGTAAAATCCTTAGTTGCGGGGTCCTAGTTCTTACCAACTGGGATGGACTAGCTGAAAGGCAGTTAGGACAGCTTGGATATTTACCAGCCCAAAGAGTCTCTTTCTGCCAAGAGCCCCCAGCCACAGTCAGATTCAGCCCGCACCGAGCCTTCATTAGGCACAGACCCTGCTCTCTGTCACACGAAGAATCCTGAATGCCCATGTCCCTCATAAAGGGCTGAGGGTCTCAAAGATGTAAGAATGACATGACAAACACCTAGGGTCTCCTGTCCCATTGACTGAGGAATACTCCACCCACAGGCCTACCACACTTCAGGTCAGATGCTTCCAACCAACCAGTCCATTCTGCATCCTCCCTTTCAGGTACTCATAGTCCTACCTTCAAGCCATTTGGGACCTGAACAACCTGGTGTATTCCCGGATGAGCAATGTTTTCTACTGGGAAGACATCATCTACAGGCGGACCCAGGAAGGCTGCTGGAACCACCGGGCCTGCCAGCTTGCCCATCAACACACAGGTTGTATCTGCCCTCTGGGAAGCTCCCCTCCTTCACCAGGCACATCCCAAAGGGACTGGCCCTGACCCTTAGCTGAGTCCTGCCCCTGACCCTTAGCTGAGTCCTGCCCCTGGCTGTCCCTCCAGACTCTGGAAAACACCCACCCAAGTACTCCCCTGGTGCAGGTGTTAGGGTGCCAGGTGCTATGCAAGAAGCTACATGTGTTACCACATGGGTGAAGGCTGAATGAGAGCCCCTGCCAGCAGCATTCAAGCAGAACCTCTTGGGCTGTGCTGCTGAGGGGAGTGATGACCTGCAAGCACCTGGTGCTAGAGCTCGCACCCCAACAAACACACCCACTCCCACACTCCTCCTGATCCACCTGGCACCCTGACTGGGGCTACTGTGAGTGTCTGTGTCTGGGCACCCAGATCTCTCAGCTCTGCCTGGGAACACTGTTCTAGACAGACCGAGTGATCAAGCTGAGGAAGGCTCAGCTGCAGGAGGAGGGAAACCTGGAGAAGGTCAGGAGCAGGAGGCACTTGGACTTCCTGAATATCCTCCTCTTTGCCCAAGTGAGTGTGGCAGGGAAGGCCTGAGGCTTTGCCTACAAGTGTAGAGGAGGGGGTCAAACTCAGACCCTGCCCTCTCTCCGTGTCTTCCCAGATGGAGAACGGGAGCAGCCTTTCTGACAAAGATCTCCGTGCGGAAGTGGACACCTTCATGTTTGAGGGCCATGACACCACAGCCAGCGGCATCTCCTGGATCCTCTATGCTTTGGCCACACACCCAGAGCATCAGCAGAAATGCCGGGAGGAGATCCAGAGCCTCCTGGGGGATGGTGCCTCCATTACCTGGTGAGTGCTCATGAGATGGGAGGCCCTGCCCTCCCAAGTAGAGAATTCCCTGGCTTCCAGGGCCTTGCCCACCCTTCAGAATAGCTTTGTTTTAGGGACCACCTGGACCAGATGCCCTACACCACCATGTGCATCAAGGAGGCACTGCGACTCTATCCGCCAGTTCTATGTGTTGGCAGAGAACTCAGCAAGCCTGTCAGCTTCCCTGACAGACGCTCTTTACCCAAAGGTGTGAACTTCCCCACTCTCCCTCAATGAACACTTAGCAGGAATGCATGGGAAGTGAAATCCACATGTTCTGGACAGTTGGTGCATGTCTTTCAGAGTCATTTCTCCCTCAAGAAAATGAATACTTCCTTTGTTGTTCAGATGAGGTATATGGTATGATTCCCACAGAGTTTAATCCTAGAAATAAATACATGACAGCCCTTAAATGTGGCTTTGGGGTTTGCCCTAATATTCTCATTCTTTGACATATGAGTGCCTGAGAGACCATCAGACGGAGCAGGGGGATAGGAGGTCTTTCCTTATAGGGTCTAGGCCAATGCGAAAGATCAGAGAATTCACCTTCATGGCTCAGATGGTCCAGTCTCCAGGGAGCCCTCAGGATGATGGCAGAGAGCAGCTGATGACCAGATCTGAGATCCCTGCCATTGCCAGAGGCCACTGTTCATCTCCTCTCTGCTCTGAATCCCAGCCCTGCCACATCCTAGCTGGGTGGTCAGAGGCAAGTTGCTCAGCCTCTCTGAGAATTAGGTGCCTCATTGGAATGATGGAGGATGGGAACCATCACTGGAGGGTTATTGTGAGGAAGTAGGTGTTCATAGATATTTCCAAGAGGTCATGGATGGTAGTTGATAAATGTGAGTTGTCCCTTGAGTTGCTCCAAAAAGTAAGCCTCCAGTTCCTTTCTGCGTCTCAGCCTGGTCATGGTTAATCTTCTAATCTGTGCACACATGCACACCTGTTGTGCCATGTCTGCCCCATCTCTCCTGCAACGCTATCATTCCATTCACAGTGATGAGGAATGGGTCTCAATGTGGCTGCCAAGCTGTGTGTGGGTGCAGCTGGGCCCCACAAGCATGTATGTCTAGCCTTCTCTCTTCTGGTCCCCAGGTTTCTTGGTGACGCTCTCCTTTTATGCCCTTCACCACAACCCAAAGGTGTGGCCAAACCCAGAGGTATGATGACCTTGGGCAGAAGAGGTGGGATGACCTCTCCAGATCAAACCCTCTTCTTGGCCCACCTCTGTCAAGGGTGTATGCTGTCCCTTGGATGGTTGGAAGGAAGGTCTTGACCACACCTGTCCTGGCCCTGGTGCTCCCTCTGCAGGTGTTTGACCCTTCCCGGTTTGCACCAGGCTCCTCTCGACACAGCCATGCTTTCCTGCCCTTCTCAGGAGGATCAAGGTGAGGCACTTGTACCAGAATGGGAGGAGGCAGGGGCTATTTTGGGGGTACATACTTGATGTTTGTGACTTGCTACATTGATGTGGGTTTCTGTAGATATGCCATGGCATGTTGGAGTGCTGAGAAAGAGGTATGTGTCTCTACGCAAAGAAAGTTGGTAATCACTGAATGCCATGGAGACTTTGACCCATTGCTCTTACCCAATCTCCAGCCACAATTCAGTATCAGTGGTGTTCCATAGCTCAGGGTATTCTTGTGAGTTCTTCATTTTGTGAGTATGACTTTACAGAATTAGATTTTCTCACATGTAATTTTCAAGTGTTGTCAAAGTCAAAGACAGGATGGACTCAAAAGTTGTTGCACACAATCTCAAACCAGGCTTTTCTACTCAACTCCCCATTCTGCCTCCACACTGCACCATTGACTACATTCCATGTGTTTCCATACTCAGCTTCCTACATGCCTCAAATATTTCAGCCATACACAGGAAATGTTTCTACAGTCTCTTTGGGTTTCATAAAGAACTCGACTTATCTGTGTTGTCATTATTTTCACAAACCAAATGAATTATTGACTCTATGGTACTGGTCATGTACACTTGACAATTTTCCCAGTTGTTCAAACATTACATATGATCTGGGCTCTATATACCTTAATATTACACTTAGAGTCCAGTTATCCAAATGGTCAAATATATAAAAATGAGGACATTAAATTGCTTTTGGGAGCAAATCCAATTTGTTGTATATATACATAACACATGGCATTTGAGCATTACCTGGTGTGTAAAATGTAAAGCACACAAGGTGGCTGTTCATTGGGATGACTATATTCCAGCATGGCTGCTGTGAAATCCTCCAGTGCTTCTGAGAGTGTCCTATAAATAGTAACTGTAGGAAACTTTGTAAGCAGTTCCTAGAAAAATGTTATTTTCCAAATACAGGAATCTGTCAATCCTTCACATACAGAGTGAACCCAATTTCACACAACATCTTTAAGCAAATTGTGCTTCCAGATACTGGCTCCAGGATTTGTTTCTCCCTGGGATTGAGTCCTTCCTCCTAGACATTGGTGCAAGTCATGTGGCTGCCAGTAGAGAGAGGAGAGGGGTAGACAGCTCAGGTCCTAGCTCAGAATTAATGGTTACTCGTATTTTATTCCATTCAGGGTGGGTTTTTTTTTTTTTCAGTTCAATAGACAGCATTCAGTTTTAAGACTGCCTATTAACCCTGACTCTGTGTGCCAAGTCCTCTGTTAAGAGATGGCATACTGCCCTTGACTCCAGGATTTCACAGTCAAGAAATAAATGCCTCCACTCAAAAGTGACATCTTCCTTCCTTCCTTCCTTCCTTCCTTCCTTCCTTCCTTCCTTCCTTTCTTCTTTTTCTTTCCTTTCTTTCACTCACTCATTTCCTAACTGACCCCACTTAGGAAGCACCAAGTTCCTGGCACTGTCCGACTCTGTAAAGTGATGTGTCCTTGAGTTAAGTATTAGGGTGATGTCAAGGTCCCGAAATGAAGAGACACCGTGGGCAGAGGTGTGGGTGAGGCCAGGCTGGCATTGCCCTTAGCCATGAGAATGTAACAGGCAGAGGTGTATAGAGGGCATTCTCTGGGATCTCCTCAGCAGGAGCTGAGCTGGGAAGAGGAGGAGTTGAACAGGTGAAAAGTGAGTGAGCCAACAACCGAGAGAGGACTTTGATGTCAGCTGAGGCATGTGGACACGTTGTACCTGTGATGGAGGGCATGGGAGGCTCTGAGCCTGGCTGGGGCTTCAGGAGAGGAAGTGGAGGCAGCATACAGAAAAGTCTGGATGAGGATGTAGAGGGATGGCAAGCAGAGACATTTCTGCAGTAGAATTGGAAGGCTACAGCAGCTGGTTGACTGAGTGGCTGAGGGGGAGGCAGGAGTCTCAATCTAACCTGGGAGGCAGATGGTGCAGCACGTTGAGCATCACTAAGGCTCTGCCCCTGCAGAATATTCTCTGTGCCATACTGACTTCCTTACCCAACTCTGTCTTGTCCTTCCTCTGAGGATCTGGACCCCTGTGTGCCCCAGATGGTTAGGGCCTGAAGGATGGCCCAGCCCACCCACTATGGTGCCCTGTCCTGCTCTGCACTGTGAAACCAGAAATGGCATGTGCAGAGAATGAACAACTTAATAATTAACTGTTTTACTGATCACTTGACTTGGCCCTGAGGCTCAAGGTGCTGACCTTCTTGTAATGGGATATCAGGCCTACTGAGAGCACAGGTAAGAGTAGGAGCTAATCCTGGAAGAGTGTAGGCTTTGTCAAAGGTCAGGGGGAGAGAGTGAAAGAAGCAAGGCGGGGTAGGCGTAGAGATGTGTGTGTGTCCTGAGGGAAGGGGACTGGGCTGGGCCCATGCAGGAGGGCCCTGAAAGTGCTGTTCCTGGCAGGGGGTTTGATGCCACTTCTCATTTCCTTTTCCCTCCCTGACCCAGGAACTGCATCGGAATGCAGTTTGCCATGAATGAGATGAAGGTGGCGGTGGCCCTGACACTGCTCCGTTTTGAGCTGGCACCAGATCCTTTCAGGCTCCCTGTTCCCACTCCAAGAATTGTGTTAATGTCCAAGAATGGGATCCACCTTCATCTCACGAAGCTCCTCTAACCCTTGTGGGGACAAGGATGAGCCCCGATGGCCTCCTGCCTGCCATCATGTCTTCCTGTCAGTCTCTCCTGTCTTCTGTCCTCTGCCCACTTCCCGCTTTCACTCTGCCCACTGCCAGCCTCATGCTTTCCTCCCCTTGTACATCAGAAGTCTGCCCTTCTCCATCGCACCCTTTCCCAAGATTCCTACCTTTTTACCTGTTACCTTTCTTCTACCCAGCTGTAGCTCTGACTGTCCATGTAAGTCATGATCAGCTGCCTGTCCCCCAGGCTGTCTGCCCTCTCCCCATTGCTATCTCTTTCTGCCTGCTTGTGTGTTCCTTGCTGCTTAACTGCATTACACAGGCTTGGTTCCTTAAAAGAGCACAAGTTGATGATCTTGTAGCTTAAGAGATCAGGAAAAGGAAATGGGTCTCCCTGGCACAATGAAGGTGTTACAGAACCTCTACGGGAGAATCTCTTCTCTTGCATTTTCTACCTTCTAAAAGTCTGCTCTTAAGACTATCCACTGAGGGAATTAGGCCTCCCCATTTATCAAGGAAATATGCTGTTCTTAAATGCAATTGATAACAAATGCTAACAGTACCCATGAAATTTTTAGTGCAAAACAAAACAAAACAAAATTTAGTACAACATCTAGACTTTTGTTTAATTGAATAACGGGGACTCCAGCCAATCCAAGTTGACACATAAAGCTGGTCATCACAGTCTACCATTTGTCCTCTTATCATTCACACATTCCATTAAACCATACTTAATCTGAAAATTAAGTATAATAAAGTCACATGTCTACCAACTAACCTTCATATGATTGAATGCGTGTTGATCCTTTTCCCCAACCAGGATGCAGAGTCATTGGAGGGTATTTATCTGCGGGATTTGGAGACTCCAGGCAGGGCTGTGTGCCAGAGACAGAGACACTTGGTCACAGGCTGGGTGAGCTCAGAGTGCAGCAAGTGACCAGGGAGACAAGAGTGATTGAGCATTTTCCCTGAGGGTGCACTGAGAAGTGGGGCCCTGAGCTCTCTCCTCCTCTGGGCCAGAGATTGGGAGTCTGCCATTTTCATTCCCATCCTCCGGAACTCTATGGAGAGTGTTCAGGGAACAAAAACTTCCGAAGGCGAACCCAAGCGGATTCTTAGCCTGGCCCCTGGTAAGGGTGGTGAAATTCTGCCTCAGGCAAAGACACTTGAGAATCACTACAACAGGCCCCTCCCCCAGAAGATCAGCAAGAAATCCAGCCAAGACCAAGTTCACTTACCAAGGAGAACAGCAGAATTCCAGAGGAGGAGAAAGAAAAGCATGGAATTCATGGTTTTCTCTCCATGATTATTTAGTCTTGCAAAGTTAATAATTTTTTAATTTTATTTTTTTCTTATGCTAAAATTTTTTTAACTTTTACTCTTTCCTCTTTTAACGTTTTTAAACTAGTTTATCTTAACAATACCTTTCATAAAAAATCTTTTTTGAACCTTCATTATTATAGTCATATTTTATCCTTCATTGTATCTTACTTTATTTTTTGTATACACATAGGGTTTTTTCTTCTAAAAAAATTGGGGATACAACTTCTTCTAATAGGTCAAAATATACCCTAAATCTAGCACAGGGCATTGTTCTAGTCTCCAGCCTGAGCAAATTCTCTCCACTTTCTTTTTCTTTATTCTCCCAACCAACTTATCTTAACTCCTTTTTTAAAAATTTCTTTTCAGCGTAACAGTATTCATTGTTTTTTGTACCACATCCAGTGCTCCATGCAATACGTGCCCTCCCTAATACCACCACCTTGTTCCCCCAACCTCCCACCCTCTGCCCCTTCAAGACCCTCAGGTTTATCAACTCCTTTTTAAGAAATTTAAAAAAAATTTTTTCATCGTTATAGTCATATGCCCCATCCCTTCATCAAGTTTACCCTTATATGTTTTCATTCATTAAAATTTGGGGGTAGTTTCTTCCAAGAGACCAAAATACTCCCAAAATTAAGTGGGTGACCCTGTTCTAGTCACCAGTCTAATATATATTTTTACTTTTTTATATTTTTTCTTTATTTTTTCTTCTAAAAATTTTTTTTTCTTAACTTCTTTTTACCCCCTTTCATCCCCCCACAATTTGGGGTCTCTTCTGATTTGGTTAAAGCACATTTTCCTGGGGTCTATGCCACCCTTTTAGTATTTTATTCTCTCCTTCATATATTCTTATCTGGATAAAATGACAAGGCGGAAAAACTCACCACACACACACACACACACATACACACACAAAAAAAGAACAAGAGGCAGTACAGAAGGCTAGGGACCTAATCAATACGGACATTGGTAATATGTCAGATCTAGAGTACAGAATGATGATTCTCAAGGTGCTAGCTGGGCTTGAAAAAGGCATGGAAGATATTAGAGAAACCCCATCTGGAGAAATAAAAGCCCTTTCTGGAGAAATAAAGAACTGAAATCTAACCAAGTTGAAATCAAAAAAGCTATTAATGAGGTGCAATAAAAAATGGAGGCTCTTAATGCTAGGATAAATGAGGCAGAAGAGAGAATTGGTGATATAGAAGACCAAATGACAGAGAATAAAGAAGCTGAGCACAAGAGAGACAAACAAGTACTGGACCACGAGGAGAGAATTTGAGAGATAAGTGATACCATAATATGAAACAACATTAGAATAACTGGGATTCCAGAAGAATAAGAAAGAGAGAGGGGAGCAGAAGGTATATTGGAAAGAATTATTGTAGAGAATTTCCCTAATGTGGCAAAGAGAACAAGCATCAAAATCCAGGAGGCGCAGAGAATTCCCCTCAAAATCAATAAGAATAGATACAGGAGACAAGATGGCAGGGAAGTAGGAGGAGGCGCCTTTTCAACCTGTACCCTAAAGTGAGCTGATTACCTACCAAAGAACTCTGATCACTCATGAAATCAGCCTAAGATCAGAATTACACATGTCTGGATCTCTACAGGGGTAGAAGACGCCAGTGGACAGGTAAAGCGGAGTGGGAACTTCGGACTGATATCAGAAGATAAACAAAAGGGGGAGGGAGCCACCAGAGGCGACCGATTGGAAAGTAATACCCCTAATACAAGAGTGCCCTGCATCTGGGGACCAGCATTAACTTGGAGATTGGTTGAAAGCACTCCAAAAGAGGAAAGGATCGAGGAGGGGGGGAATTGTGGGAATCGGGGTGGCTAGGGACAGGGGCTTAAGTCCCCAGACCCAGGACAGCCTCCCCTGGAACTGAGCCAGAGAGAGTGTGGCAGAGAAACCAGGTCTTGGTCCCTGAGCCGCCAGCGCACCCAAAATTGTGTGGGGTCTGGCTCCTGTGAGGGGCTTGGGAGCCAAGCCAGACGGCAGAACGCCAAGCCCTGCTACACAGCCTAAGACCCGCGTGTCCCTCACCCTCCCCTGAGAGAGGTGTACAAAGGCCTACCCGGTGCTCTTAGACCCGCACCATTGTTTCATAGCCTGAGATGAGCGCCCCAAACTCTCCCCTGAGAGAGGTGCGCGAAGGCCCAGCCTGGTGCTTTCGGACCTGCACCCTGCTCTCAGAGCCTGAGATGCACACGCGACCCACAGCCTCCCCTGAGAAAGGTGCGCGCAAGTCGGGCGCTCTTAGACCCAGAAAGACCAGGCACTCCCAGCCCGGGCCAGTGGGAAAATCTAAGTGTGTGATCGCTGCTTGGAACCTCTCTGGAGGTTTGGAGCTGCCCAGACAGCCACCGCTGCCGTGGTTTTGGGTACAAGCAGAAGATCCTGCATCCACAGGGACCCTGACTCTGAACCTGCTCTGCCAGCGGCCAAGGGGGAATTTATATGGGCTCTGCAGCCAGATTGAGGCTTCTCTCTGAGAGGGAGGTCAGGGTGCAGTTTGCTTTCCTCTAAGCCTACAAAAACCATCAAAAGCGGTCAAGGCAAGAGAAAAAAAGAAAGTGAACAAACATAAAAACCTCCAGAGAACAAAAGCCTGAAAAAACCGGTTTCTGCAGAGCCCACCCCCTTGAGGGGGGAGGGAGGACTTAACTCAGGGAACATCATTGACTGAAAACCCACGTGGCAGGCCCCTCCCCCAGAAAACCAACCAGGAAAGAAAAAAAAAAAAAAAAGACTACAAGAGAACAACCACCACTACTTCA